GATAGACAGTTCTATTATGGCTGGCGGCTAAATGGCAAGACACCAGAAACACTGTTGACGCTTTTAAAATTTATTTACACAACCTTGTAGTAGTCTAACTATTTCCGACGGTCCAATTTTTTTAACGGCACATAAAAAGCCACGTCAAAGCTCCGTTGGTGAAGTTATATTCGTAAACCAACGGGTATTAGTACCAATTTCATTGTTATCAAAATTTTCTTTGTTGTCATAGCGTCTAACACGGTTTGCTGGAAGACGCTGGTTCGATTCCGACCGGATCGAAGGATTTTTTTTCTCGGTGTTTGATCTTTGCATTAATAATTATAACAAACTAGTGGAGTAATTTCACAAAAAATAATTTAATATCATGCTGAAACATCGTGACATTAAAAAAAAATAAAAAATAAAACTTTTTGTTAGTGTTATAATCTTGGACGCTGCTCAATAACTAGGCCACTTTGGATGTGGTTTAAAAATATCGCAGTTCTTTTGAGAAAATCGCGGTTCTTTTTCGACTCGTACTGTTGAGACAAGACTAATGATTTTTAGATGTCAGGTGTTGTACACGTGACGAAATGTGTTTTTTTTTATTTCAAAATAAACACACGCTTTACTATAATCGCGCCTGATGCTAGGCTAGAAAATAACCGATAATTTACGGGATTTATAACTATAGTGAAACAAAAACGTGACCAACACTTAAAGGCTCATACAGCTTCTGGGTGACAAAAATCCACACATGCACACTACGTGTTTTATAAGCGCCGAGGACGCGCATTTACGGCGCGCGTATGTATCGCGCATTTTGATAAGAGATAGTTTAAATTTTAGTTAGTTTTTGAAATGACGCGACTGCATGAAATTGTAAGTGTAAAGTAAAGAATGGGAAAAAAGTTAGAAATACACAGAACTGTAGAGGAAAGGAAGCTGCAGTATTTTGGCCAGGTAATGAGAGGCAATAGATACCGGATTCTTCAATTAATAATTCAGTGAATAATACAAGGAAGGCGTGACCGAAGGAAAACTTCGTGGTTGAAGAACCTGAGAGACTGGTTCCACCTTAGCATACGTTCCCTATTTATACGTTCAGCTTCAAAAATGAGAATAGCCATGATGGTCGCCTACCTTTGTAGAGAAGCGACACACTAAGAAGACTCATTCGTAAAACAGGTTCCTCTTAGAAGAATGAGTAAGAAACTCAACGGAATGCTATTTGTAAATAAATAAACATTTGTACACCTTTATCAATTGCAATACCTAATAATAATAGTTAATGTATACATAATCCATGTATAGCTTGTACATTGTTACAGAAGCAGTAGATCTCCTTGTGAAAGAGTTCGTCTAAGGAAGTACTGCCGCCTTACATATTTCTGCCGCCAAGTTGTGATTTGAAGCTCGCTTACTGCAAGGCTCACGACATGTTTGTCCAAATCCTGGCTGCAACTTGTATCTATTATATTTTACGGTCCAGAACGTTTCAAATCTTCTAACCCAATTATGTCCCGTGCAATATAAAATTAATTAAAATGTCCAATATCCAAACGTGTCGAATGCGCCCTGTCAAAGATTTGTGAAGCTAAATTGATTTTGTCCAATTTCACGGTGATGCCTAAACGTAATACGTAATACCGCCTAGTGTTTTGTTTCAGTTTGATGCTCCAGTAAACGCTCAGACGCGCTTTGATCTATTTGGAGAGACTCGGCCTTAACGTCGGCTAAGGAGACAAATGACTGTCGAATGAACGTCCGATCGCTTTTTAATAGACGCTTTTGCTCTCTTGCATAACGTAGCGGATATACGCAGATGTATTAAAGGTATATACGTCGATACCAAATGTAAGGAAGCATTATTATTGATACAAACATCGAACACAAAGAAATATTCCTTCGATCAGAGGCCTTACCATTATTACAGTGCAATATGGGTTCGTAACGACAAAATAGCGGGATGGTGATATACATTTCGTATAGCGCTGTCTCACAAAAGATTCATTTTAGGCCCTTTTTTAACTCAAACCAACTCTCGTTTTCCGTCAGACATCCGAAACAATTACTGTCAAATAATATTCGATGAAATCAAAGGACAATGCCAAATATGAAGCTTCATTGGCATTATGCGCCTTTTTAATCTGATCGGGTATTACTTATTGGATAATACCTAATTGTTTCGGTCGAATGTCGGGACGCAGGACGGGAATAGACCTCCAGTGTCGGTTGCTAAGACGCGGGTCACCGCTCTTAAGGCGAAATTCATAGCACCATATTTAAACATTTATCTTTTAAAAATGTAATAGGTATACTCTTTTACTGTATAATCTCAGTACAGATTACTAAAGAAACCGACCTCAAAAGTACGTGGAATTACATCTATTTGCTAAGTTTTTTTGAAATCTGTTACCGGAAAGTGCGTAAACCCGGGTTCATCCCCTAGTTCGCCACTATACGAGACTTGACACAGGAGATAATACAAATCGGTTCTCACTACTCAAAGTATACTGAGAGAGAAAACCGCCTTGAATTGGAGAATAGCAATCAACCATTAAAATAATTGCTCCTTACAATAAAATTTAGGCGCTATTTATAAAATGAATCTTCATGCGTTGACAACCACTCTTAGAAGTGGGTAATTTTCTTCAAAATTAAATGGAACCACTATCGAAAGAGGTTTCCAACAAAAAAAGAATCATGAAAATCGGTGCACAAATACCGGAGTTATCGCGTAACATACGTACAAAAAAAACATACAGTCGAATTGAGAACCTCCTCCTTTTTTTGAAGTCGGTTAAAAATGTAATAGGTATACTCTCTTACTGTAAATAAGCTCATAGTCCACTGACTTATTTATTACAGCACACGGAAAGGAAAATTTCATTGAATAATAATAATAATCGATTGAAACTAGTTTTTCCGTAGATGAAATTGCTGATTTTTGCAGAACTTTCTGATTTTTTGCAACCGACTTAAAAAACGTAGGAGGTCTTGGACTCGACTGTTTCTTTTTTTTATGTATGTTACCCGATAAATCTGGTATTTGCGAACCGATTTTGATGATTATTTTTTGTTGGAAAAAAGGTACCTCGGTAGTGGTCCCATTTCAATTTGAATATTCCAACTTAAAAAGTGGCAAACTAGGGGATGAATCCGATTTCACACATTTTCCGGTAACCGACTTCAATAAAACCTGACATATAGAGGTAATTACACGAACATTTGAGGTCGGTCTTTTTTTAAATGTTGTCGAAGACGCGAAACAAACGCGAAAAAACGAAGCTTTAACACGCGTTTTTAAATTTCAAAAAGTAGTTTAACGCCATTCATGTCAATTCCGTCAACTGTACAAGATTCTTGTTACCAAGAATCAGTGTCATGGCACTTACCTTTGATAGACATCTGTCTTTCATCTGAAATTGGAACTTTCGGGGATGATAGGAATAAAACACAAGAGTAAGGTAGTAAGTAGTCCAATATGCGAACCTAATAAAAAGATATCTTACTCAGTTGCGTTACATGCCTAAAGTACAGTAATAGCACTTGATCACAGTGATTAAATATCATGTTATTTGGCAACAGATCCAGGAGGAAGCTAGTCGTGTGTAACTGGAATTTATAGCAGAGATACACTGAAATATTGTTACAGAACTGTGATTGGTATTTGAGATTTTTCCGAATCTATAAAACTTGGCAATAGATTAGCTGTTTCATTTGTAGTTAGTTTTTAGTGGTGTGCTAAAGTGCTGCGTGGGCTAATTCTAATAAAATTTAAATTAAAATACCACTGGAACGTTTTCCTTTGAAATTAATTCCGTGTCTCTTGTTTTTTGTTGTTTGACGAGTTTCGCATTCTCTTGGAAAATTAAACGTTGTTATATTGAAAATATAATTAGACTCCGCGTTTCAAAATTTAAAGTATTTGGTGTTAATATTATAGAAAGATTTAACAAATATAAAGAAAAATACCTTCGATTCGTCTGGATTAAAACCAGAGACTACTTGCCATACCGGGGCTAACTTGGTGGGCTATTTTTACGAAAAATATCAGATCAGATTTGATTTCAAGCTGTCTTAATAAGTCAGATACACACACACTTCTATTTCAAATCATTCTATCTTAAAACTAACCCACTTAACCCACTGTTTTATTGTAAATTCTCAGTTTTAAGATTACTTGCAAGGCTTTCCCAACACGAGCATACATTTGCTTAATGGGAGAACCTGATCTACCATTGTTGAACCAAATTGAGATATAAATAAATTGTTAAGTTTTTTTACATAAACAAAGACGAGGCCCAGTGCTGATCTTTAACTAGAAATATTAATGTAACATTTGTATTAACATAATAAAGTCTGATTTTTATTAATAGAAGTTTGGTTTGTAGAAATATCGTAATATTCAATAAACTTTAAGATATTTCCAGTAAAATCTCTACTTTGTTCTTCTTCTTGAGGTGCCATATCCTACAGGAGCTCGGCTATTATTAGTGCTATCCAACTGTATTTTACACACAGCAGCATGCAACAATTGTCTTGTGTTCAGGTTGAACCATGTCCGGAGATTCTTAAGCCACGAAGTGCGCCTTCTTCCAGGTGGTTGATTTCCCTGTATCTTTCTTTGCATAATTAGTCGGAGTAGGTAGTTTTTATCGTTACACATTATATGACCAAAGTACTGTAGTTTGCGTTTTTTGACAATACACAATTTGGTATAATTATTAACCCAAAGTTCGAATACTAAGAAAAATTTATCCGTTTCGGCTGGATTCGAACCAGGATCGTCAGCATATGTGCCTGACGCTCTCGCAACTAAACTACGGAACGAGCTAACAAACCTTGAGAATTTTGCTATTTGTTTTGTTGCAAATTTGCTTTGTGGCAAAGTATACTAACGGATGATCTTTCTTGTCCACAGGTACATGTGAAGTGAAATATCAAGGTGCTAAATGTTTAAGTGTCAGTGCTATTTGGATGTGGAACGCTAGCTGATCGCGCTGGCGTGGTACGGGGGAGGGGGTGCGATGCAGGCCGGCGGGGGTTGGTTCGTGCCATGGACGATGGGGGTGCAGAAGTTCGCCGTGGCCTTACCAATGGGAGGAGTGGTGCCGTTTGTTCCGCCGCTCCTGGCCGCATTGCCGCCCGCACCACCACCATTGAGACTTATTGCTCCACCCCCGCTGCCGCATCAGGCTCAACCTGGGAGAAAGGTGAGCAGTTCCGAAATTTATTTTAACTGGCACATTCTTCGACAAAGGTTTAGATATTCATATGTTGCAACGTACCTTGCCTGGGTTACAATGTCCTTACTGTTATAAAACACCGCACAAAAAGTGCCGTAAAGGAAGCTGCAGTATTTTGGCCACGTAATGAGGCGCAACAGATACCGGACTGTAAAAGTAATAAAACAGGGAAAAATCCAAGGAAAGGGTAGACCTGACAGAAGGAAAACGTCGTGATTGAAGAAACACTTTTTCCCCAAATATTTCTTTTACTTTTTTCCCAAATCTGGGTTTTAACCCATTTCAGCCCAAAACCGTGGGCAAAAACGGCGGATACGGAATTTAGTATAATTACGTACTTATTAGAAATTAAAATGTAAAAAAACTTTTTTGGACCATAAAGAGGCAACTCCACACAATATAGCCAACCACCTTGCACTTGTACGGTCTCTCGCTTACCTAATAGTAGTGATTGCCCACTCACTTGCACATTAGTCGAGTGTGTACGATAACGTGACGGGTCGAACAAATCGTGCGCCAGTTGGTAAACGACATGCCTATCCGTAACAGTTGCAGCGCTACTCAGAGCTTAAAATCACAAAGATCTAAGGTGCACTGCCACTGCGCCTGTCACCCTGAGACATAAGTTGACAAGTCCCATGTGCCTGTAATGTAGTTTTTGTATAAAATAAATTTCAATGTGATTGTCAAGCGAATCGATACAATAGAAAAGCGATATATGTAAGCAAGCAATAAACATTTTGTAAAAATAATACAAAACTCGATTCACAAATATTTAATTGTAAATAGTTTTTGCCCTCTATTACGGACGTTAATGGGTTTTAACCGGATTAAAACCCGGCGTTAACAAGAGTGCCGTGTTAAAACCCATGCATGCGCTTGCCCATCTCTGGTCCCCAAAAATATATGGAATAGTGGACAAAAATTTAAATCTATAGACGTACCTAAATGTGGTAAACTAAAATGTCATGTGTTCTTCAAAGTTCAGGTATTATCTATTTTTAGACATTGGGTACGTAATTTTAGCCATGCAAAACAGAACTTCCGTTTGTCCTAAATGACAAAACATTTCAAATCTTTATGTTCTCAAAGAATTCTATTTTCACCCCGTGACAAAACAACTTTCGGATGATAAGGATAATTCTTTGTCTGAAAATAAAGACAGAATAATGTAAATGAGACCTACGTTGACAAGGGTCTCCTGCGCGAGATAATTTCGGCTTTTTTCCGCCAGGTTCATGAATTACAATATTTTTATGATTGAAGAACTTGGAGGACCGATTTGAAGGCTTGTGATGGAAATGTTTTCAAATTTGGATTACTTTCAAGTTTGTTTGAGAATTTCTCCATATTTTTTGCTACCTCTATGACCCGATGACGAGTGGAACTCTGGGCGTTAGGGAGTCACCACACTTATTAACGCGTAATCGCATTAATCCGGACAGAAAAAGCTATGTACTCATATAATGTGAGCGAAATAGTATATGTATTTTTTATCGAGGGTCTAATACGAACCAGTATATGTATTCCTAAGGTGGTTAGCCACCCGAGCATTAGTGAGGGTGTCTATAACTCCGAGGGTTTATATTGGCTTTAAGTCTTGATGTAAAAACTTTACTTTTCACTTCGATTGCGAGTAAAAGCAAAATATATTAATTGTTTACGCTCTAAAACAATATCACGAACCAAAGATCTCTAGTTTTCGTGATATTTTTTTTTTTTTCAACCAGACACAGTTACGACAATCACAACAAAATGCCACGATCAGTTAAAGACCGCCAGTCGTTAGCAATTATGAGCGTCTTTTTTTATTGAATTTCCGCAGCGTAGCTATCTCTGCGAAACTGTAGGTTTATTTATTTTATTGAGTTTTTGTGATGTTAAATTATAATTATCTTTTTTCGTGATTATTTTTAAGTGTTGTTTTTGTTGTAATTATATTGTTTCACTTATTGAAATTTTTACCTTTTGGCACAAATCAAAGCAAGTACTGGCTGTTTGGGTTTGTCTAGGTCACTCGAAGTAAATTAAAAACTAGGTACTTTTCAGTGCCGAGGCGTGAAAATTGTCGTTAGTGAAGCTGGAGCAAAACAAAAAAACACATACTTTAACTAAAACTACTTTTTCCGTTAAAAAGACGAATTGGCGACACTTAAGGCCGGCTTGACTCGCGTTGTGATTGGTTGAGATCAATCGGGAAGCTACAGTACGCCGCATTATCAAGAACAAAGACTACACGATTATCGCGTTTATATGCGCGCTGCCTAGTACAGTCTTTTGATGATACGTGGAAAGTTTTAGGCAAGCTAGTGGGAGTCGAGTTATATGGACGCCTCGCCACTGGTACTTTTTACTCCATAGGGATTAAATGATTCATTTTACTCCCCGCTACTTAAGACTATGTAATGACGTACTTTTGCAGAAGTGAAAACGATGATGTGCATCAATTTTATATCTGGTTGTTCGGGGGTTATTCATTCATTTCGTTACCATTATGATTTTCACAAAAATACTTTATTGATAGATAGTATAAGGTACTACTTTAACCAGGTGGAATATCATTTGCCGACTAAAGCGCACCAGTCTTCTCTTTTTTTTCTCTGCTAAAGAGCACCAGTGTTCTCTTTTTTTTTCTTTTTTCAAAGTTATCTCCATTTACACGCGCAAAATTTTACAATTGAATATTGTTCCCATAATCTTAATGTTCTAACCTTTGACCACAATTATCACAGGTCGTAATTCAAAATTTGGACTTCGTCATGACCTGTATTTTTTTTATGCCATGTATCTATCTACATTGCGTAGTTCATCCAGGGAAATACTGCCACCTTAACTCTTTCTGCCGCCAAGCCGTAATGTGAATGTTACTGCGTTCCAATTTTGAAACGCAATTTGTGTCTCAGGGTGACGGGCGCAGTGGTAATGCCCTTCAGATCTTTGCGAAGCTCTGAGTGTCATTGCAACTGTTATGTACAGGCGTGTCGTTTACAAACAGATACACGACTTTTTCGTCCCATCACTTGGTTTGATAAAAAAATCGATTTTAGTCAAACTTGAATACTCAGTATGGTGTTTTTATTGTAGTAATAGTACATATTTACATTTTCAGGCTTTTTGGCATAAAATTAAAAGAATATTGTTTAAATGTTTCGGTGGTTTGACTATGAGTCAGTTAACTTTGTTGATACATGACACGAATTGGAAGAGACTGTTACTTCTTTATTTATTCAAAGAAGTAAAAACAAATTACGTAACTCAACTTATACCATTCTTCTACGAGGGGCACGGTTTGTAATTCAGATGCGTCCGATTGTCGAATGCAGCTCGTTTGAAAATGCTCTAAGAAGTTCCTGGTTGAGCTATGTTTAAAAGTTCTAGACTGTTTAAAAGTATTTACGTCCTGTTTTAAATTCAATTTTGAGGCTTAAACTTAAAACCTAAATTACGCTCCCCTGAAAAATTTTTAGAAATGTCCGTGTCGCCCTTTCTACAAAACACTAACGATATTGTAAAAAAGGAATAATGAAACGTCTCACATAACGACGAACTAAAAAAAGACTATAAAGAAATTCGAAACGTTCTAGAACAAATTGAAACAAAACAGTTACGACACCACATGCACGACCCTAAACTTAGCAAGGACAGTGTGTTGTACGTAAATAAGGCTGGGCACACACGATTAATCCGAGGACACGCTGCGTCTATTAGGCGCATTACACAGGCTACACTGAAATCGATTACCTGCGGTCAGACCTAAAGTGAAAGCGGTAAGCACAACTAAGAGGATAACCCAGTCTACGCAGCTGCGTTTGGCATTTCGTAATTTGATATACACGTTCTCATAACACGGTACAATTGAGTATATATATATTTTTAATTTTTATTGAAAAATATACTCAATTATTTTTATTTGCACATAATACTTAATTATCCATTTATAAACGAACATATAATTATATGTCACTGTTAATACAATAGTGTATTAACTCAAAAAGTACTTTGTTTCAGAATCGATAAAAAACGAATTACTTCTCCTGAAATGTTTATGAATAGGCTTATAGTTTATTACAGATATGTAAACAATTTTCTACTTGCCAAATGTATTTAGAAATAAAAGGAAAAAATATATATTTTGCTGTTTTATCCAGAACTAGCTCACATGAAGTTCGTGTTATTTTGAGTTAAGTAGATATCTTGTAATTGTTTGTACATTATTCTAGCGACGGTTTTATTGACGTACACAGAATCAAATTTTACGTCCAGCAATGGTATAATTTAGAATTTCACATATTTTGAGTTAATACACTATTGTAATAGCAGTGCGATTGGGTTCATTCTGTATTTTTTTTTCAATTTTCAAATCGTGTCCTCTCAAATCAAATACCACAATTTTGAGTTACGACAGTTTTTGGTTTAGGTTTTAAATGTTGCAATTGTTGTAGTTTTTCGAAATTTATACACCGGTCGTGAAAAATTAACACAAAGTTTGAAAGGGTGTAACGTGAAATTAACAACGCTTTGTCCTATATAGTTATTAGTTTCTCGATAGTGTATGCTTATTGTTATTGATTGAATTGTTTACTTACAATAAAAAAAAAAAACAAACAAACACAACACACGCACACGCGAATACTCTCTTTAAGATATAATGTGGACGTATTTATTATAATTTATTCCATTTTTATAATAACCGTCATTTTCAACTTGACACTTATTGTAAACCTGAGAAACTTGTACTTGACAAATACATTTGCAAGACCGGTCGTTGTGGCGATACCTTGAGGAAGGGCTCCAAGGACAGATGTCCAAGTGTGGACGTCTTTCGATAGTGATGATTATGTAACACGATCAAACTTCTGCGCTTTTGCATAGGGTTCGTCAATGAGGAAACAGGGTTCTCAAAGGCTGGCAATGCATCGACAGCTTCTCTCGTATTCTGTGTACCGTTTACGTTCTCGGGTTTCTCT